TTATTTTAATATTTTCTTTCCTCTTAATTTTTTAAAAATCCAACTAACAAATACTTTTAAAAAATTTATTAACAGAATTGTGTTTCTATCTTTGTTAGCATTTCAATTTACAATAGAAATAGCTACGCATTCTCTCTTTGATTCTGTTGGCTCACCCCTTGGCCTAATAGGAGGGACAAAGCCAATAAGGACAAGGGAGGCAGCCACCCCCCTAAAATTTTGAAAAACATTTAATATAGTACTTTAATTTTTTTTTTAAAAAAAATTTGCTTTTATTGTATGAATTTCAAAAACCATTTCAAATGTGGAAAAAAATTTAAGATCTAAATAAAAGGTTTAAAAAAAAAGAATATGATTCAAAATGAAATGAATTTTATGTTAATTTAATTAATTAGCAATTTAGGTTCTTAAACATTTCATTATCTATGAAACCCAAAAAAATTGATTTTTTATTTAAACAACTTTAAATTTATAGTTTTATTTAATATTTTTATTTTCTTTCTTAATATTCTATGTAATAATTTAAAGTTTTCTTATTTAGCATCGATAGAGGTTTTTATCTTTTAGGATTAAATTTATAATCATATATTTTTTGTGTTAAATTAATTTAAGTTAAATTTTACTTTTTAAAAGAAATATTCTAGTATTCTAATTTTTTTTTATAATATTAGCATTTATAAACATACACTACTAGAAAACAGCATATAATCGACAAAAATATAATCGACAGTCAAAAAACTGTCGATTTTATTTATATTATCGACAAAAATTCTGTCGATTATAATAAAGTGTCGATTATATAGGTATAATCGACAGCCATTGTGGCTGTCGAATATACTGGCTATAATCGACAGCCATTTCTGTCGATTATAGGAAGTATAATCGACAGCCACAATGGCTGTCGAATATACTAGCTATAATCAACAGAAATGACTGTCGATTATACCTAATACAATTTCATATATTTATATATTTAGTAATAAAGATTTAAAACTATTAAATGTAAAATTATTTTTAACTAATGTTATACAAATATATACTTTGATTTAATTATCAATTCTAATACTAAATATTTATAATTAACTTATTATTATATA